GACAGGCAGATGGCAGTGTGCTTCATGACACCAGTTAACTGTATGTAGAGCTGAAGATAAGATACTCCCTGACCGGAATAGAAAACCTGTGAGGGTCCTGCAGCGGAGAGGCAACACACACCGCTGCCTAACATTAAAGAACAAAGTAAGCGATATTTAGCATTATTGGGGAATATCTTTGTGTAAAAATGTTTGGGGTGTTATGGTAGCACTGGTAGCACTGGTAGCACTGGCATCACAAGTTCAGTAAATGGGAGGAAAAATAACCCAAACTCAAAATGGCCCTGAAAAATTAGGTACTAGCAGAGTATCAGAATGATAAGTGTAGTTAGCATCTTTGATTTGTGTATCTTGTTTGTTAGCATGTTCACTTGTAACTGGCAGTGACAGACAGTGTTAGTGGATGTGATACATAAACAATAATATTCAGCGGATTTTTGGGTGGATGGTGGAAGGAAGCTTGAGGGTCAGGTTTACATCCAAAACTGCCCATTACTATGTTTGCCTAGATATCATTATGCTAATGCTAATTGTTGCTTTCTGCGCTGAGGTTTAACGCTTTTTTTGCCACTGTGGTGTTGAAGGCACAGGGTTTTCCTGCCAGAATGTATCGCATTTGCAGATCTAACAGTGATTGGCTTTTGAATTTGTGACATTCCTGATCTAGTTCGACCTGGGTGCATTTCAATCTCAGATCAAGTGTAAATAGTCAAGGTCAGGCATTCTAAGCGGAATAGGTGTAAAAGAAAACACATTTTTAGTGGATAGGATATTAACCATTAAAACGCTAATGTCTAGTTTTCAAAAAGGTTATTAAAGTTCGACATAAAACAAATAAAATCATGGTCTGACATCTTTTTCCAAACACTTGATTAGACAGATTTCAGATTTTCTTCCATTGTGTGAATATCGCAGCAATCGTCCCTTAAATCCATTATGCACCAAATGCTCATCAAACAGAAAATAGGCTGGCATCCTTTTCCTGAAGATATGGTGATTACATCATGTATAATTCATGCCCTCCACAATGATATCCATAATGAGCACAGAGCCATAGTTCTCTATGGAGGATGGATAATGATGGAGAGTTCAACCAGTGAGGTCGCCATGGTAATGAAGCAGTAGCTGGTGCAGCCGAGACCACTGCCCAGTTTAGACTGGCAGGGCTCGACTGGAGGCCGGCTAACCTTCATCCCACAAACTGATAAGACTCAGCAGAGAGCACAAGACTGCGAGGGAGGAAGGGGGGGGGGGGGGGAGGTAGGGATAATGACAGGGAGGGTGGGAGGATGGTGTGAGAGAGATAATAACTACAATTACATACACACAAGACACCAGGTTACTGTGAGAAGTCAGGCAGAAAATCTGAAAACATGTTCACATGCATGGCGATTCTACAGCTACTATAGATCTGATTCCACATTTTCCCCCTCTACAATGTTTTTTAAGTTTATTAATGATATACGCTGCTTCAGCTCCATGAGTGTGTGAGAAATGGTTCTGCAGCGAGAGCACGGTTTTCTTCTTACTGTGCATGTGTGCAATACTGTAGGCATAAGGTATTTATAAAGAAAATTCCAACATGTCAACATGAGAGGAATCTGCAGGTTGAAGAAACAGAGCTTCTGTCATTTGTATAATTGACCATTTTGCCAGGGCATACTGTTTTGCTCCTGTACTGTCTTCTCTTCATTTCTTTTATGCCAAATTGTGTACAAACATAAAAGCATTTTCTATTCCATTTCACATGTGAATTGTATGAATAGCCTGCAGTTCAGCTGTGGAAACAGACTTCCTCAGAGTTGTGGTTTAGATTTAGATGCAAGGACACTTTTGTAAAAACCCTGTCAGAATTGTGGTTAAGCACATACAGGGCCAACACATCAGCTTTCTCCAGCAACAAGAAATGATATCAGCAAGCAAGTGGGGGAAGGGAGTCAGGGAAAGAATGAGAGAGTAAGGGAGAGAGAAACTGGAGGCAACACAACAGGAGAGTCAATGGTGGAGAGACGGGGAGAGAGGGAGTGTTGTAGAGCAGTAATCAGAAGATCATAGAAAAGTAAACAAGCAAAGAAGGCGGGGGAGTGTGTGAAAGAGTGTGTGAAAGAGAGTACTACAGCAGTGTTATAGCAAGAGCAGAACATCTCTGCCCATGAGGGGCAAATTAAAATGAATCAAGGGGTTTCATTACTGCTCTTCATTATTAGGAAGGATAAAGAGGGATTTTATTAAAGTACATTATTTTTTTAAGCTTTGTGATACGATGGGCGAGTTCCTCCTCTCAGTCTTTCTTTGGTTCTCTCTGCTTCTGCGGGAACAATGCGATCAGCATGCATTATTTATTGGAAAGTATGTCTGTGTTTTGAAAAGTACTGTATGTGCAGAAGTGTGCGAGTGTGTGTGTTTCAGCGTGTGTGAGACAGATGTGAATGTGCGATTCAGATTCAAATGAGGGGAGGGTGTGTTTTGCGGGCACAGGTGTAGGTCTGTATGATTTCATCACTTTGCATGCAAATTCTTACAGAGGATGGCCGCCAAGTCCGAGAGAGAATGGAAGGCAGGGTGGGTGAGAGAGGGAGAGAGGGAGGGAGAGAGGAATGGTACATGTGCAGGAAATGGATGGAGTGAGGAAGGGGAAGAGGAGAAAGATGGGGTGATGGCAGAGCTGCAGGCGCTGTGTTTGTACATGCATCTGCAGGCAAATTAATCACAAGATGGTCCCATACTCCATTAAAATGCTAATGTAGGAAAATCGAGACATTTCCATTTATTTGCAATATATCCCAGAGCCCAAAGAGTGTGTTTGTGCTCAAAGTGGGCTGGGTACTGGATGTACATCTAATATAAAGACAAGTGCGAGACTAAGACTAAAAGTCTTTTAAGAAGTTAATTCAAGAAAATATTTAATATGGATATTTGGAATCACTGCAGTGATTTGCGTCAAAGCGTTTTTAAGTTGGAAAAGTTTAAGTGTATTTAATGAAGGATTTTAGTTTTATCTGCTTACTTGTTCTTGGTTTGACGCGGATTTCGCAATATTTGAATGAAAGTCTGATGACAGTTGGTGGGTTGTTTGTTTAGGGTTCTACCGTCAATCAAATCTGATTAAAGCACTCTCAAACTGTTCTGAGTTCCGACAGTTTAAATCTTAATAAATAATACCACATTGTGTTTTATTATTACATCTTTAGTAAGTTCTTCGTACAGTTATAATCTGAAGTTTATGATTCACTTCTTTACCTGCTAAACCATTAGTATAACATTGTTTGTGAATATAAACATTTTTGTAAGCACAATCAAGCACAAAAGGAGAGACAAAACCGTATGTAAAATATTTAATTTTAAACTTATTTAGGATCTTATTTTGGTGTCACTACAGCGGTGTGTTGTCACATTGGAGCAAGAAAGTTTAGTTCCTGCAGAGCCGGTGCAGAACTATTCTCTCAGCTACAGATTGACGGGGAGTGTCTCTGCTCTCATTTATCACTTAATGTAGTTTCCTAGGAGACGTGAATTCGCTGTAGATAAATGCAGTAATGTCAACATATGTTGTTGATGGTCTCCATGCAGAGATTCATTAATATTCAGTGGCTCCACACTGATGTTAAATTGGTCTCACAGCAGGAAAAATGTATGTTCGATTAAAATAGGACAATTCATCATGTGGCAGCGTTGCTTGTCCCACCCAAAGTTAATTCCAGCATAGCAGTCCGTAACAATATAAATATCAAAATAAAAACCAATATTCACCTATGATGCATACTGGCAAGAGTTCAGTGTCCAAACGTCACTCTTAAATGTACTACACATCTATAAAAAAGTTATCTATTTATATGATAAGTCAGTAAATGTTGGTTTCTTCCAAACACATTCTCTGCTGCTCATTAATGGAAATAACCAGCCAAGCAAGAAAAACCACTATTAGGTTAGAAAATGTGGTTGGCAAAATCATCCTCTTCTATTTAAAAATATTTTCACTTACACCTCTAATGAACCAACTGTTGCATCAGTTTACTCTGAACTCTTGTGGGGTAACAACAATATTGTACATGATATTGTTGCAGTAGCATTTCTGTGCCCTGTCAGAGCATTAGCACGCAGCACAACACAAACACTAACAGGGAGCCTTCTCCAGCAGAGCAGAAACACAAATATCAATGTTTTCTGAGGCTGCTGCCATGATTATTAAATTGATATAATGACATAAATATCCACAACCTTGCAGATCATATTTTCAGCATTTTCACACTCAGTGGATAATTGACGGTGAGGATATAGACCGGAAACATATGGAGAGAGAGAGGGAGGCTGAACTAATGTTCACGCTCAGCTGCAGTTAATGTTTTTGTTTGCGGAGTGTTTTAATGCATTTCTAAGAATACTATTCGGCTTACAAAGCAGCCATGTCAAGTCTGGCATCATGAAGCTATAAAAAAAACACTAAACTTTAAACAAATATATAAAAAAGTCTTATTGAGACAGAACCAACATTCTTGTTAACTAAGAAACACTGCATTCAAGACTTATACTAATTATGTAGGAGCCAAAATGCTACTTAGCCTGAGTTTGTTATTTGTATTATTATTATTTGTTTACGTCACTTTTATTTGTATTTGTTGAGCACTTCCGGCAATCGTCACATGGGTGTGGTTTGTGTATATAGGTCACCTGTTACATGTCAGGTGCGGATGACAGAGGGTGAGCTGAAATGTTCCTGTTGACCGTTTTGGTCCTTCTAAGTTATTGTTAGTTTAATTTTGTTTATTAAATATATTCAACCTTTCAACCTACAGCATGGACTTTCTCATTAAAAATGCGTCGCAGCATAAAGCCGAGCTTAGCCTCTCTGCGACTCAAATTTAAATGGGAATTGAGCCGCCACAAATTAAGTGCAATGACAAAGGGTTAAAATATGATGCATACATATTGATTGAAAAGTATCCATCTATCATTGTTCCCCATAAGTCAAGCTCACACACAGAACACACTGGAGCCCTCACCTAGACTGGTGGGCTTGATGAGCTCGTCCAGCAGGTCGTAGAAGGGCAGCCTCTGCAGCTTCACGTCCGGGTGGACCGGGTGCAGCGTGGAGCCGGACAGGTGGTGCGTCAGCCCCGTCAGCTCGTGCTTCCCGGGGCCCAGCAGCGAGAGGGGCAGTAAGGCAGCGGGCGACGGGGCTCCGCCATGACCCTCGTACGCCAGCTGTGTCAGGCCGGAGGGTAGTGCGGCGCCCCCCCCTCCCACCACGCCAGCTGAGGCCGGGTGGTGCGGCCCGGGCATGGCCAGCTCTGAATGGGACACCATTTTGGCTGGGAAGCGTCGTCGGTAGAGCTCTTTGACCTTCATGTGCACGGCGGGGCTGCAGCCGGCCTTCAGCAGGTGCAGCGCCTTGGTCAGAAGCTCGTGTTTGCGTCCGTGTTTGTTGCGCCCAGCGTATCCCAGCAGCACCTGCAGCTCCGACACTCGCAGGCTCATCACCATTTGCTGTGAGGACAAAGAGGATGAGAAATTAACTTTTGAAATGAGATTAATATAGGATAAAAAAAAATGTACAACACAACAGTCATTGAATTAGTCAGTAATGGATGTGTAGAGACCCCCAGTGCAGCCAGGAATACAAAGGGTGGTTAGACTCTACATACACTTTTCATAAAGACAGCTGATTCACAGAGATTTGAAAAAAGGTTATCCAGCTGCTGCTATACTACTCGTTTGGAGAAGTTCAATATGACACAAATGTCCATTTAAGGAAAGCAGGAACGAACCAGCAAGAGAATCAGAAGCACAGAGTTATGGTGGGGGGTTAGAACGCGTTAGAATTAATAAAGATATTCAACACAATGTTTTCTACATCAGTGCAACAGGAAATGAACGATATCCCTGTGCGTAGTATGGTGGCTACGTCAGAAAACAACTGTCCAGTCAGAGCACAGTATGTGAGTGCAACGCAACACACTCACAGAGCTGCAGATTTACGAGAGGCCAGAGCCTGCCTTCTACTACTTTGTGTGAGTGCAGCCGTACTCTGTGTGTCTTGGAGCAGTCTCAGGGAAGAGTTAGAGGAGATACTGAGGAAGAAGGCATTCAGCTTCTTCGCAAGTCCCCCCCCCCCCGCCACTGTCAGGCCGTCCAGGTATGGAAATAAATGGACTGAATTTTCAAATTCCTAATGAGATGGTTTGCATTAATATTACATTATATATTATATTATATATGTCGTTATCGGGCTCTACCTGCTCTAAGAAATACTAATTATATGCTAAGTCTCTCCCTATAGACATAGAAGCTTGACACAGCTGGCAGTTTGCCATACAGATGTTTAAACAAAAAACCTACACACACATTGAAAGCTTTTCTGGCAGGAAAGCTTTTTATTGCACTGGAATGAACACCATTCTCACACCAAGTCTCATTTTAGAACAGCCTCATTTCAATACATTTGTGTGAGAATCTGTCAGCTGGATCAGCACCTGTCCAAATACTGAACACACACCACTGACACTGGGAAGCAGCCCGCTCAATGCAGTACGTTTCTGTCTGTGTCGGAGTATTTTAAGTTACCAAGCTGGCCTGAAGGAGAGCTTGAGATCGGGGAAACATTATTTTTCTCTGATTCCTATAGAATGTAATCATACACACACCACAGGAGACAGTAAAGCAGGGGTCGTCACATCACTCACGGTAAAGCCAAAGAAGCAAAACTTACTAAAACTAAAAAGTGAAGATGAGAAGAAACCCACACTCAGTTTAATTGTAAGTCTTAAGGCCGCTACACACCAACCTGAGACCAAAGAACGCGTACCGAAGGCGTCCCGACTTTTACGTCCCGACTTTTACGTCCGCTACGTCGCCTGCATCGACTACGCCGCCCGCCTACGGACAACAAGACTTCAGTTGACGAGTGGCAATAACTGTCCTTACCAGCAGGCAGCGGTAGTGTGTATTCGTCATTCAAAAGAGGCAACAACCGGAAGACAGACTATACACCGAGAGAAGAAGAACAGGCTGCGTGATATAAACAAACAACAAATAGCGTCTGGGTTCCATTTTCACTCTCTCTCGTCGATCGAAAACATGTAAACATAAAAAAGAAACTCTTGCGTCCGGGTGAGATGAAAATGAAAAAGATTAACCGTCTGTGTGTGCCTTCTTAATCGTTTGTTTTGGTCCCTCACTTCCACTTCGCTTCTCATGCACTAACTCGCTAAGCTGAACAGCCAATCAGAGTGATTTCTTTGTCCCGACTTTCTTTGGCCTCCGATTCAACATGTTGAATCGGCCGCGGGAGGCGTGAAAAGGTGCCGTAAAGACACGACGGTGCGGGACACACCAACCTGAGTAGGGCGCCGCGAATGCCCGACTGCCTCTGACGGCCTCTGACTCCCAAAATCGGGTTGGTGTGTCAGGGGCTTAAGTTCAAGTATCAAGGTTCAGTCAGCGACCAAAGAAAAATAAAACAATACTTTCTTTAATTGTATTGTTTAACACAGTTATTTGATTGAAACAAAATACAGAGCCTAGCCAATAAAAAAACAGATCAAGCATACCAAATAAAAAGTGTAACGCACAAGATATTTTAGTTGAGGTGTGTGTTGAAATGAACCAAGAAAGAAAGCATTGACTCATTCCCTAGCAGCCCTCACTAGCCGACATGGAGCAGGTGGATAGCATTATGGCAAATTATAGCCTTGACACAGACCATAAAAAAAGCCAATCTTAACCGCGTTACTCAAACTAAAAACCTGGACACACATACTGAATGCATCAACGTTGGGATCCGCGCACACACACTGGGTAGCCAGTAAGAATGTCTTGGACAAACATCCTCCCTTCATCTCCTTTAATGACAGGGCAGGGATAGAAAAGCGCAGACGCACATAAACACACGCCCCACAAATGACACACACACAGGGCTGTTAGTGCCCAGTGTGTCAGTTTCCGGGTAATTAATTATACACACACAGTTATAATTGTTGTGTGCAGTGGTGTCCATACATAAGATGAAACCTTTAAGCTCTTTCTTGTTGTTTCATATAACCATGCATATTCCTTTTGGGTTACACTGAAGTGTTGAATTAATTGGCATTGTACATGACACATATACTGTGAGTGCTGTAGGCAATTTGTTGGGACCTTAGCATGGCAGCTACTTTGTAGACTTGTACAAAGTACCAAAACAAAAACACTTAGATGCAAAATTGCTTCTTTTGCATTGCTGGAACCGATTTGAATATAATATCGTTATATATCAAACATTGATCATAAACAGTTTTTTTAAACTCTTACCATCTGCTGTTTGAAATCATTCATCCATATCAGTACATCGAACCGATATGACGAAGGCATAATCAAATAATAATCAAACATTTGTTATCAAATTGAACAAACATAACTTTTTCTATCACAGTGGCTTTTTGATTTCTTTAAAGCACCATTTCATAATCTTTCAAATGTTTTTAGAGCTGTTATTTATTTGCAATGTTCATGAGGAAAAACTATAACTTCTGCTGTCTTACTTTGTTGTATCGTCTAAATGTAAAAAGTATAACCAATACATCTTCCAGTACCAAAACTAACTAACTACTTCCATTTTCAGCGTTGGGGCCCAGGTGTGAGAAAGACTTTCATTCTGGTCCCACCACAGAACGATCGTTTTGAAAAGAACTGAAACCCCCAAAATGTTGCAGGCTATGGTAAACATAGTTTTGCACATTTAGCTTCCTCCAAAGGGTATGCAATAGCAGAAAACACATTTGTGCTTCAGTTAACCTACAACTCAAAAATCCAATGCAAACCAAAACATTTTTAAGAAAAATGTTGGGAAATATTTATTTTTTCTCATTAATCAAAAAGTGCGATTAGAAAATGATAGTTAAATTGTTTCTGGATGGTAGGAGAGATGAATTACCAACAGGCATGATAATAATGTTGTCTTTTTCAATGACAAAATGTGGAGGAACTCTGTTTAGGAACACTAAATCAGCTAAATGTCTTCAGAAGATTCTGATAATTACAAAAGCATATTGCAAGCAGAAGATGGCGCACTGCGGTAATCAAACACTAACTAAAGAAAAGGGCCTTAGTCTTAAAGCACTTTCTCACAGCAGTAACAATACACAGCTTATGATGTAGATATTGTCCCAGATTCTGCTTTTATGTCGATCACTAACACCAAGGCCAAGGAGATGCCTACAAATGTGTTGTTTCCAACAGTCTAAAACGCAGTTTTATACAGTTACAATATACAGTTTACTATATGTATAAGACATGCATCAATCATTTACATTTAAGATGTGGGAAAACTGTGATTTTTGACAGGTTTGATGAAAAATATTATATAAAAAATGAATGAAATGTCAATATTGTTGCAGATACATATTTGGGTGAATTGACTGATCTCCAAGCCGCTGTTAGATTCCTGCACGGAGAAGAGATTTCAGACAACCTGGGCCTCAAACAAGCTGCACACTTCTCTACGGCTAGAGCAGAGGCTGCTGTTTACACACCACACACTGCATGTTGTGCACAGCTGTCACATATCCAAACACGCGCACACACGCAATATATGTAACACAATTACTAATCAGGACATAGACCTGTCACCTGTCCTTCTTCTACAGTAGGTCCCTACAGATATAAGCTAAAAGGCACATTCATGGAGGGAGAAGGAAATTGAATGTAACTCCGAGGCCTGAGCCGCACTGCAGTTATAAAAACATTTCAGTCAAACACAGACGCTCGTACAGCAGGAAGCTCCATCACAGGTGCAGCACGCAGGCAGCAGCTGTCTGACTGTGGAGTCCCAACATCTTGAGATATTCTTTAACTGAACATTAATTTTGATCATTCAATTTTATTGCCTGAGCCAAGAAGGTTTATCTGTTTAGTATTCCTGGACTTGACACACACAGTATAGGTGTAACTCTCCTGCTTGTGACATATATGGCCAGTCCCATGAAATATGCATGTTGTCGAGAAGAGGGTGGGAGAAAAATGATGACACAGACTGCCCACCATTACACACACACACACACACACACACACACACACACACACACACACACACACACACACACACACACACACACACACACACACACACACACACACACACACACACACACACACACACACACACACACACACACACACACACACACACACACACACACACACCACACACACACACACACACACACACACACACACACACACACACACACACACACACACACACACACACACACACACACACACACACACACACACACACACACACACACACACACACACACACACACACACACACACACACACACCATCATCATTGAGGAGTGGAGGTTTCTGAAGACATTCAACCATCTGACAGAAGTTCTGACGGAGAACCCCACAGCTTTGACATTAAAACCAACATTCATTCTACTGTCATTAATTGCATATTATTGCATTATATTCTCCTGCACTTATTAGTGAAGCTTATGAAG